GTTCCACATGGAAAGAATTAAGAGCGGTTATTGCCTCGTGTCGTGGACCCGGGGAACATGAGGATGAGAGAAAAAGCATTGCATCGTGCCTGCAGGGTTTACAGGGCTTTAGTTTTAGCACCAACGATGGAGCGGTACCTTGTGCCACTACATGACATTAGCTCCGGGCTATTTCCAGAGTAAATGTCTTTTTGGACAGTGCCTGTATTTCCCATGAGGGTGGAAAACATATGTTGTGATTAAAAACTAAACATGTGATGTAATAAAAAAGTCCAGCGACAAACTGTTGACTGGCGGCAGTTTTTTGTGGATCAAAATAGGATCATGTATTTGCACTTCTTAAGTGTTCCTTTAATTTCTTGCAGACGGGATGATTATTATTCTCTTCTGTGATTGCAGCTCAAAGTAAACACTCCTGTACAGACAACGTGGAGAGCGAAGAGGCACACCTGTAATTCAATTGTCATTTATTGCACTTTACCGCGATTCAATTATGAGTTGTGGCTGATCAATTAAACAGATGGAGAACTCTGTGTCATTAGTAAAGCACTTTGAGACTAATTAACTTAAGATGGGAAATTAAAATTCAACAACTTAGCCAAACGCTAGTTGTATAGTTTAACCTGTTAAGCCCCGGGCCTGTTTTTCAGGCCTCAGGCTCGAAAATGACATTCCCAGAACAAATATATATCTTCACTTCTAAAAGGGGAAATTAATAATCTTTTTTCTCAAAGCAATGATAAACCTGTGAGTTGGATGTAGAAGAGTCAGAATCAATATAGATTTTTTTTATTTTAAAGTAAATTCAGATTGAACATAGTAAAATAATGTAAATGATAGTGTACGTCCAAAAAATATTGTCAATTTTATTGATTTTACGAGCAAACAATGTTTGTTTACAACTTCTTCCCAAGCTTCACGCACCCCCCCTGCAATAGCGCTGCCCCCCCCCCCCCCCCACCTGAACATCAGCAGGAGAGGACTCTTTAAAGTAGAGACACTACATACTGATATACACCTGAACATCAGCAGGAGAGGACTCTTTAAAGTAGAGACACTACATACTGATATACACCTGAACATCAGCAGGAGAGGACTCTTTAAAGTAGAGACACTACATACTGATTATACACCTGAACATCAGCAGGAGAGGACTCTTTAAAGTAGAGACACTACATACTGATATACACCTGAACATCAGCAGGAGATGACTCTTTAAAGTAGAGACACTACGTACTGATATACACCTGAACATCAGCAGGAGAGGACTCTTTAAAACTAAAATGCTTTGCTCTATAGATTTATACACAACTAATCAACTGAATGTTCATGTTATTGTTGAACTGTAGGGTTTATGAAAGGAGAACTGGAGTAACTAGGTCAAATCCAGAAAGATATGCATCTCAGCCACAAAACATCACTCGCTAAAAAGCATTCAGAAGTTGCCGTCGTTACTTGGAGTCTAAACGCCTTTAAAGTTCTGTCAACAAGAAACATTCAATGACTGCTGCTATATAGCAAACATCAATGCTTTATGTGAAGTCAACAGAAACAAAGCCCATATTTCCACTTCCCAAAAACCTTCTTTCAATGAGGATGAATTAGTCGTCTTCATTGAAAGAGATAACCTGAAGACAACAGATGCCAGATGTTGTGAGGTCAGAATAGAGAAGGATTGCTGGTTCCTGCTGGGGGAAAATGTTCATCTTATCAAAAATGCCCTTTGCACAATCATCTCGGTGCCACTTTCAGTTCATCACAGCGGTTTGATGTTGGCTGTCCCTGGAAAGCTTGTATCGCCTGGCTTCATCTCGTGTAATCCATTTGCTGCTACACTGCCTGACAGTTAGCATCTCCGAAGCCGCTAGCATACAGATCTGTGAGCCCTTATACATAATACATCAAGCATAGGAGCCATAAGCTGCTTCGAGTTGTCTTGTAGAGATGTGAAGCCACAAAACAGCCATTGTGTGTTAGAAAAGATACACACACACACACACACACACACATCCAACAACACACACATACACACACACACACACACACACACACACACACACACACACACACACACAACACACACACCACACACACACACACACACACACACACACACACACACACACACACACACACAACTTGTGAGGATGAAATATTCTTTTTTTCTTTGCACAGCAAAAGCAATATAAGCTAAAACAGCTTAACATCTGACTGGAATCTATGTGTGTGTGTGTGTGTGTGTGTGTGTGTGTGTGTGTGTGTGTGTGTGTGTGTGTGTGTGTGTGTGTGTGTGGTGTGTGTGTGTGTGTGTGAGATTTATTTGGATCCTATGTTACTCTGAACTCTTTATAGTGACTTAAGTTGAGTATACAGTACACATTACACCAACATACTTTACTTTGTTTTGTACTAACTTGACTTTATCAAATGTCACTTTAAATTACAATGTTCTTTTTTTGGTGTTCAGATTTATATCCAACTGTTTAACCACCACCAACACTGCACACACTGTACATTTCACATTTATATTCAATGTAATATTCCATTCCTTACACTCTTAATGTAAATAATATCCTGCTTTATATTGTGTCTAAAGCCCTTTATAGTGTTTTATTGACAGAGTTTATACATTTTTTGTCATCACGGTCTACTGTATATTTTCTACTTTTTAATGCTGTTTTAATTATATTTTGAGATGTTTAAATTCTAGAGTTGTTTATTTCTACTCTTTAATTTATACTTATGTGCAATGCCTTGTTTTGATTGTATCCCAATTTGGGATCAATAAAGTACCTCTTATCTTAACAGGTACTTTATAATCACTTATTACACAGCTTAGTTGAATACTGGATTCTGATTGGTCAACTTGGACATTCCAGAGGTCTGTTATTTCTTGCTAGCAGACCGTTGCTAAGGATAACAGACCATTGCTAAGGAGAAAATACTGTTGCTAAAGAGAACAGACCGTTGCTAAGGAGAACAGAAAGTTGCTAAGGAGAACAGAAAGTTGCTAAGGAGAACAGACCGTTGCTAAGGAGAACAGACCGTTGCTAAGGAGAACAGGTCGTTGCTAGGGAGAACAGACCGTTGCTAAGGAGAACAGAATGTTGCTAAGGAGAACAAGTCGTTGCTAAGAATAGCAAGCCATTACTAAGGAGAACAGGCCGTTGCTAAGGAGAACAGACTGTTGCTAAGGAGTACGCTCTGGCCTACAATATATGCAGTTCTTATTAAAGAATAAAAATAAAGGATTTTGAGCTGCTATAAGTTTCAAATGTTTCAAAGATAAAATAACAATACAGTCGTACAAGGGAATCCACAGTAAATGGTAAATGGACTGTATTTAAATAGTGCTTTTTCCAGTCTTTACAACTCCTTGAAGTATTTTAACATATAAAAGTCATAACTCATCCATTCACACTCTGTTGCCACCTGCTCAAGGAAGCTAACACTCTTTAGCACACCAACCCATAAGGAGCAACTAGGGGTTAAGCATGTTGCCCAAGGATACATCAACTTTGACTGTTGCTGGGTGTTTGAAAGATAACTTCACTGCCTCTCAGCCACTAGAGAAACACAATCTTTGCGGAGAGACTTGAGCTTAAGACATCTTTAATGAAGAGTTTAATTTATAGAATAAGTTGAAGCTGCAGTTTAGGGACCAGAGGCTCGGGAAGAGGGTTGGGAGGCTGACAGAAACACAGAAAAAGCTCAGAAATGTCACCTAAAAGAAATCAATGTTATAAGAGAAAACTAAGCAAGGCCAAATTAGGGTGAGCTTGCTTTCAAAAAATGTTTTAAATCGACTGCTGGGGCGAAACTGGAGCTAATTATTTTCAAAAGTGAGCCTCCGGACAATATGAAAAATGGGAACGATACACAAAGCCTTCAGCCAGATTAATCTGATAAAGAAATGACCCATTTCAGTTCAAATTGGATCCCCAGACAAGCAAGAGGTGGTTTTTTTTCAGTGAAAGCCGAGGTCATGCATCCTTCAGCTGCAGCCTAAAGGGTCTCTTTCCAAAACACGATTATTAATCCATAAACAAGAGGAGAGTTAAACCCAATGCAAAGAGTTGTGGACTGTAGAGAGAGAAACAACGCCTTACCTGAGAATTGTTAAATATGTCATCTTTTAAATGCCATACTTTGAGCAACAACGGTAAAAACAAAGCAGAACAAAAGCCTCCTTCGGCCACCAACACTGAAACATGAATAACAAAGGAGGATGGGGAAAGGGAAAGGGTGACATTATGTAGGGGCTGTAACTAAAAAAATAAAGAAAAGGGAAAACAATTGTGGCTTTCTAACAGTAGCTGAAGAGCTGTCTGCACTCAGACTACTGGCAGGGAATAATAATCACCAGACTCTACAAAAAAAAACATCTCACATTTTTTCAAGATGTTTTCCTAACTCCTCAGAAACAAGAACACTGGCTACAAAGTGATTATTTGTCTAAGAACAGACAGACATAAACAGTTGTGTCTCAGAGGAATACTTCTTTCTACCAGGAACTTGTTGGCAGATAAATAAATATGATTAAAAACAACCCAAATTCCTAAGGTTAGTAAGGTTTTTTGTTGGTTGTCTTTCCTTGTTACACAGCTTAGTTGAATACTCGATTCTGATTGGTCAATTTGGACCTTCGAGAGGTCTGCTATTTTTTGCTAGCAGAAGAAGACGGACAGGAAGTAAACACTAAAGGGAACACGGTATGACCTCTGTAGTGTTTAAAAACTGGTTAATGGAAAATAAAATGGGACGAATTACAACAGAACCAATTTTCAGACCATTTACATGCACAAAAAAACGATATAAACACACTACAGGAAAGAGGAAACGTCCGGAAGGAGAATAGGGCCTCTTTGATATTAGAACGGCATAGAAATAGATGGGCCTTTTTCCAGGAAACAAAATGAATACTCACTAGTGTGGCTTAAAACACATGATTATACAAAACAGATTCTACACGAGTTTCTTATGATTGCCCCCCGTCTCACCTGCACAGTCCTGGGTCTTCCACTCCAGACACTGTCCGTAGGGGAAGGAGACGGTGTAGGCGGTGGAGTCGACGCAGCGCTGCGTGCTGCTGCACCACATGCACTCCATGGCCTGGCTGGTGCAGTTACTGCAGCTGGAGCGCAGAAAGCAGGACGTCCTGCAGGTGCGAGAGGTCTGAGTCTGAGGAGACCCTGAGAGAGAGAGACACAAGTTAACATAACCTTTAAAGGTCTCCAATCATAAAAATGCAATTTTGATGTCTTTTATACATAAATACGTGTCCCCGTGTGTCAGGGAACTCAAAAAGTGTCCGAAAATAAAACCCTCTCTCTTTTTCTCCGTACCCACATCTCTAAAAACTGAGCTGATCCAGATTTGCGTCCGATATGACGTAATATCTCAAATGTGGGCGGGCTTTAGACCAACGGCCCTATCAGAAACGTTGCTATCAGAAACAATGCACGACGTGTTTTGGACATAATATGGTCCGTGTTTACATTAGCAAGCATCGCTAACACTCAGAGCTAACTTGTACTGGAGAGAGTATGTGTAAAAAAGCAGGATATAAAAAAGTAATCACCCACTTTGTGGCGTTTGATCACGGCAGCATTTAGCTGAGAATCTGGGTAGAATTCTCCCGAATAAGCAAATCCTTTTTTTTTAAAACAAATGTACGGACCCAGAATCAGCTCTTTAGTAACAGGGCTGAAATAGAGAGGGGTGAGGCTACACTTGGTGATCTGTTTAGTATTTTGAGATAAATACTTCAAAGACATGTTTTTTATATATTTGTATATATCTGAGACCTATAAGTGCCTAAAAATAGTGTAATAGGAGACCTTTAACCTTCTCACCCAGTGCTCTGAACCATTTTATCCAACCACACCCTCGTTCTCTCCTTTATCGTCATTGAGTCTCACCTGCAGGTTTCTCACAGATCAGTCCGTCAGTGGCAGCAGTGCAGGGATTGGCTCTCAGGCCAGGCCCCGCCTCCCTCTCCAGGTACGCACAGAAACCAGAGTCGCTGGGTTCTCCAGGTAACCATCGCAGGCTGGTGTTAGTGAAGGGAGAGGAGTCCTCCCAGCCCCAGTACGACACATTGATCTTCCTCAAGCCCACCCAGGGAGATAAGGTCTGCAGGGAGTACACACATCCTTTACTCAAGTAGAAGTACAGATACTTGTGTTTAAAAATACTCTGGTGAAAGTAGAAGTACTGATTAAACTTCTTTCCTCAAGTGAAAGTAAAGAGGCTTTGAAATGTACTTCAGTAAAAAGTACCCATAACTAGCAGCTGTTTTAAAGAGTACCTGACCTCCCTTTATATTAATAGAACAATAACGTCATTGTTAGCTAATGAATGTTTCCATGCTGAACAACGGCAACATGACAACGTTTCCATTGGTCCCTCTTCTTTAGAGAAGACCAGGAAATGATGGATACACGGATCGTGTTCAAATCAATAGGCACGCAATGACTCTAAAGAATCTCGGATCAGTCATTAGCCCGCATGGTTTTTCTTACCACTGCTACGCTGACGACACCCAATTAATTCTGTCCTTTCCCCGCTCAGAGACCCAGGTCGTCGCACGCATCTCTGCTTGTCTAGCTGACATCTCTCAGTGGATGTCTGATCACCACCTCAAGCTCAACCTTGACAAGACTGAGCTGCTCTTCCTCCCGGGAAAAGATTGTCCCACTCTTGACCTAACAATCAACATTGGCACCTCTGTTGTTTCCCCGACTCAGACTGCAAGGAATCTGGGTGTGACCCTAGATAACAACCTGTCCTTCACTGCAAACATCGCTGCTACAACCCGCTGCTGCAGATACACGCTTTACAACATCAGGAAGATACGTCCCCAGCTGACTCAGAAAGCGACTCAGGTTCTGGTCCAGGCTCTCGTCATCTCACGCCTAGACTACTGCAACTCCCTCCTGGCTGGTCTACCTGCATGTGCCATCTGACCTCTGCAGCTCATCCAGAATGCAGCGGCTCGTCTGGTCTTCAACCTTCCTAAATTCTCCCACACCACTCCGCTCCTCCGCTCCCTTCACTGGCTTCCGGTAACTGCTAGAATCTACTTCAAGACACTGGTACTTGCTTACCATGCTGCGAATGGATCTGGCCCTTCGTACATCCAGGACATGGTTAAACCGTACACCCCAGCGCGTGCACTACGCTCTGCATCAGCCAAACGACTCGCTGCGCCCTCGCTGCGAGGGGGACCCAAGTTCCCATCAGCAAAAACACGTGGGTTTGCTGTCCTGGCTCCAAGATGGTGGAATGAGCTCCCCATTGACATCAGGACAGCAGATAGCTTACACACCTTCCAGACTGAAAACTCATCTCTTTCGACTCCACTTCGAGCGATAGAACTATTAACAAAGCACTTATATACTAACAAAGGACTGGTTTATCTAAAGCCAGTTGAGTAGCACTTGAAATGTTTGGCTCTATGAAACCTGATGTACTTTATGATTCTGTTTTCTTCAAGGCTGTGTCTTCCTGGTCGAATGCACTTATTGTGAGTCTCTTTGGATAAAAGCGTCAGCTAAATGCAATGTAATGTAATGTAATAATGATCACGCCACCAAACACACATTCAGACTAAAGGAACCAGCTGTTTGGAAAATGAGAGAAGTAGAAAGTACAGGTATTTGAGTTCAACATGTAAGAAGTAGAAAGTACAGGTATTTGTGTTCAACATGTAAGAAGTAGAAAGTACAGGTATTTGGGTTCAACATGTAAGAAGTAGAAAGTACAGGTATGTGTGTTCAACATGTAAGAAGTAGAAAGTACAGGTATTTGTGTTCAACATGAAAGAAGTAGAAAGTACAGGTATTTGAGTTCAACATGAAAGAAGTAGAAAGTACAGGTGTTTGTGTTCAAGATGTAAGAAGTAGAAAGTACAGGTATTTGTGTTCAACATGTAAGAAGTAGAAAGTACAGGTATTTGTGTTCAACATGTAAGAAGTAGAAAGTACAGGTATTTGGGTTCAACATGTAAGAAGTAGAAAGTACAGGTATTTGAGTTCAACATGTAAGAAGTAGAAAGTACAGGTATTTGTGTTCAACATGTAAGAAGTAGAAAGTACAGGTATTTGTGTTCAACATGTAAGAAGTAGAAAGTACAGGTATTTGGGTTCAACATGTAAGAAGTAGAAAGTACAGGTATTTGTGTTCAACATGTAAGAAGTAGAAAGTACAGGTATTTGAGTTCAACATGTAAGAAGTAGAAAGTACAGGTATTTGAGTTCAACATGTAAGAAGTAGAAAGTACAGGTATTTGAGTTCAACATGTAAGAAGTAGAAAGTACAGGTATTTGGGTTCAACATGTAAGAAGTAGAAAGTACAGGTATTTGGGTCAACATGTAAGAAGAAGAAAGTACAGGTATTTGTGTTCAACATGTAAGAAGTAGAAAGTACAGGTATTTTGAGTTCAACATGTAAGAAGTAGAAAGTACAGGTATTTGAGTTCAACATGTAAGAAGTAGAAAGTACAGGTATTTGGGTTCAACATGTAAGAAGAAGAAAGTACAGGTATTTGTGTTCAACATGTGAGAAGTAGAAAGTACAGGTATTTGTGTTCAAAATTTAAGAAGTAGAAAGTACAGGTATTTGAGTTCAACATGTAAGAAGTAGAAAGTACAGGTATTTGGGTTCAACATGTAAGAAGTAGAAAGTAAAAAGTCGTCAGAAAAATAAGTAGTGGAGTAAAGTACTGATACCAGAAACATGTTCTTAAGTACAGTAAGGAAGTATTTGTACTCCAATACTTCCCACCTCTGAAAATTAGATAGCATGAGATTAGTTTTCTAAGCTAACGATGGATTGCTTGTGGTTTTTATATTTTATTGTCATTTGATTGAGCCAAACACTCCGGGAAACATCTGGAAAGCAAAGTCTGAATGCTTGAAACAAAGTGTGAGAGGAACGAAACCACAACGTAAAAAAAACTGGTTGAGAGTTTGCCAAGACACATGAAAGCTGTGTTATACAACAACAATAGCTTTCTGAAATCTAACCGAGAGAAAACATTGATTTTGTTTAAAAACAACAATAAACTTGTTTTCCTTTGGTTTATTTGAGCTATAAAAATGCTGAGCATCTATTGTTGTTTTGTTTGTATAATAAATTAAAAGGAACTATTTCTGTATAACCCTGATTGTATACATGTACACAGCCAGTGTTTTAAAGGTCTCCTATCATGCAAAATGCACTCTTTGATGTATTTTATACATAACTGTGTCCCCGGTGTGTCAGGGAACTCACGCAGCGTCAGAAAATAAAACCCTCTCTCTTTTCCTCCGTACCCAAATCTCTAAAAACGGGGAACAACGGAGCTGATCCAGATTTGCGTCCGATATGACGTAATATCTGAAATGTGGACCCACGGGCCAATCAGAAACGTTGCTATCAGAAACAATAACCGACTGTTTTGGACGTAATATGGTCGGTGTTTTCATTAGCATCGCTAACACTCAGAGCTAACCTGTACTGGAGAGCATGTGTGTGAAGAAGCAGGAAGTAAAAAGGAACTCACCTTGTGGTATAACCGGCAAGAGAGAAAGCCTTTGAGCTCCAGACTGTTTCAGAGAGAACCCTTGATAATCCATGATATGGCGTTTCATCACGGCAGCATTTAGTTTAGACAGTAGCTGCCGGGTCCCGCATAAGCTCCGCCCCCTCCTTTTTTCTTTTGTATCAATTATTTTTTAAAGCGTTTTACCCCAAATCAGCACTTTTGAAACAGGAAGTGAAATAGAGGGATATGAGGCATGGCTAGAATGATCTGTTTGGTATTTTGAGCAAAACACTTCATAGACATGTTTTTTATATATGTGTATATATATCTGAGACCTATGCTGTTGCCTAAAAAGAGCAGGATAGGTGAGCTTTAAAACTGGGGGAAAAACTAAATAAAAAATCAATTGTGTGAGCAAATTACTGTAAAGGGGCCTATTCTGCTCATGTTCAGGTTCATATTAGAATTCTGTGACATGTTTCCATGCTTTAATGTTCAAAAAGCTCTTTATTTTTCTCTTTTCACGCATCCCTCGCAGGGATTTTAGCCTTTGCAGACCGTTAACATGCACCAACACCGATAGAACACACTACAGGGAGGGAAAAGGGCCTCTTTAACCCCTTCAAAGAATGAGAAGTCCCACAGCTGGTAACTGTGAACAACATAAATGATGTTTGACATGAAAGCAGATCCTAAATCAAACCTTCTGTAATTGTTATAAAAGCAGAAACTCCTCAGACTCACAGCGATAACTAATTCAGGAAAGATCTCCAAAAAGGATTGTAATTAAAGAAGAGTGAAGTGGAGCTTAGTTTGCTGAGAAAACAAGTGTGATTTGTTTAATAAATGCCCATGACGATATGCAAAGATGTTTGGTAGACATCTAAAAGTGATTTCCCACAGGAGTGATTTCATAAAGTCATGCAAACAGCCTAAACTCCGTGTGGAGGCTGTGGATCAGTGGATAGAGTGTATTAGCTTATTCGTTATTCTCGCGTCCAGGAGAGAAGCTTTAAAAGTAAGAGACAATGGAGTCTCTGAGAAAGGTTCAAAAGGGTACTTTAATTAAAATGGTGCGGAAAAGTTACCACAAGAATATGGTTCAGAGAGAGGGAGAGAAAAGCTTCCTCTCCCAGTGGCGGCCGAGCAGAAGAGACTTCAAGAGAGTCCACACACATTCGTCTTTCCCGCTTGCTGGCTGTTCGCTCCTCCTCTCTGGGGCTGTGGTGACGTAGGAGACTTCCCCCCTCGGTCTTCTGTGTCCGATATTGCGTTAAACGGAGGATTTAGACATTTTACATTGATTGCTTACTTCCACATGCCTTTTCTCCTCCTTATCTCTTTCATAACGTTATATGTAATACATGTTAACGGCGTCAATAGCCACTTTAATGATACTATCGGCCGGTAGTCCCGGTTGTCGTCATGAAGGATTTTCAGAATAAAAGCTTGGTATTAAGATTGTGCGAGAACTTCCGTTTTTTTTCAGAATAAAATAGCATTTAAACTGACGGTATGTTTTAACTAAATTATGCCATAAAACATTGATTTTAATTTCTTCGAATCAGGGGGTAGCGAGTTCGAACCCCACTGCAGTCAGCATGT